CCCTTTCCCTTCGGAGCGCGGCGCCCGGGGGTCTCTGCTGCCTGTAGTCCACCCTGGGGCAGGTGACTACAGCTTCCAACAGCCCCTGGGGCTTGCTTTCAATTTCAGATTGCTTGCGGTGTTCCCGGATAAAATTCGCCTTAAAAGCAGCCTCAGTGAATGTCGGGAGCTGTAGTCGATCCTGTTCTTAACGCTTTCCTCGCTGGGAGGAGACTCCACTGGGAACCGGGATTTCCACGTAGCTGAGCTCCCTTGAAATCCTTGAGTTGGTTTTCGGTTTTGTTTTTGTTGATTTCCCTTCCTCCTCCTTAGATCTAGGCCTTGCTTTCCCTGGTGCTGTGGGAAGGGAGGCTGAGGCTGAGTAAAGCAGGGTAAATCTGTACGTTGTCACATGTGCCAAGACTGTTTCCTCAATTTCTCATGGTGCTTTAATTTCAAGTGATGCTTTAGTAGCGACTGAACAGAAGCGTTGTTAAGGAAACCTGTGCTTTTGACTCCCAGAAACCTGCCGAAAGACGGGAAGAATTTCACACAGTTCTTATCTCACGACCTTGCTTCCACAGGGCTTGTTGTTCTTCCTACAGAGGATTCACTAGGACCGTGTTTGTCTGTACCCAGCTACCTCTATGTATCAGTCCCAAAGACATTTTCAGTTGGGACAAGGGGACAGACGACGCTGTCAGGGCTGGCTCCTACCATCAGACCCAGGGCCCTGGAGAGCGGCTGATTATTCATAACGGTTAGAGCGTGAGTTGTAGGAATGCAAACTTCCCTCTCGCCATCTGCCACTGGGCCTTCGCCTTTCACAGGCGATATGCCCCAAAGGCGTCCAGCTCGCGGGACTTGTCGATACTTGGCCCTTCTCCTGGCAGCGCCAGTTAATGCCGGTGGGACCTTCTGTAGCACGAGCACCTGCTCACCGGAAAGCAGGCGAGATGCGGTACCTCGCTCCATGCTGCCTTCTGCACCCGTCCGATGATGGTGACTGCTGGCTGTTATAACCCCGCTTTCTTTTGCGCCGGTGACCCAGAGGTGACGCGGTCTTTATCTCATAGCAATTCCCCCAGGCACCCAGTTTGCTAGACCTTTTGTCCTTGCAATCAACTGGCGCTGGCATTGTTGGGAAGCGGGACTCGCCATAAGGTGAGGCCATTTGAATGGTATTGCCAGTTTTGAAAGCATCCCTCCGCCCCAATGCAGGAACGGTGCTTTCATAGATTTGATCTTTGCTATTTAAACAGAGGAGGGAGTTTAATATTCAGATTGATTATGAGCACCTTCTGCTGGAAATGTCTACTACAGCAAGCCAAGCCTTCTGGTATGGTTAATGAAATCCATTGTGGCATTAATTCTCATCTCTAATTCATCTTTCAGTGTATAAAACAAAAAGAGATTATACTGAGATGATTTTAATCTCTGAAACAAAGCCTGAAATAAAACTCATAGCTGCAGCTGTTGGGATGGGAAGGGAAAAAAAAGCTATCGCCTGGATGGGGAGAAAAAGCACATGTCACCTGGTTCTGTGTATTACCAATATGCTAACAGCACAGCTGGGTGCCTGCACGTGCTTAACTCTCCTTTGGTGCCTACTCACTGCAAAACATGACGGTGTTATCCAGTGTAACTTTGCATTACAGCTTTGTTCACAGCATGACCTGCTATTAACCTCCGCTTCAAAAAAAATCCATTGTCCTGTGAATTTAATTATCGATTTGGCATTTCAGAAATAGATTGTATTTTTTAAACTCCTTTATGCATTGCTTTACTAGTGTTGCATCTTGTATGTACTATGCCAATGAAATATCCATGAAAAATGGTTATGAATAGAACAGTATGGTTTCTTTATAGTTATATGGTGGCCTTACCATTAGGACTCTAAAATGCACCTCAGCTGAGAGGCGGGACACTTGCTGACTGTGCATGGCACCTGATTCCCATTTCTGCTCCTCTTCCCCCCAGCTGGGCCTGGTTATGTCTTTTGGAGAACCTCAGCCTAGAAAAAAGAAGAACAGGTTAAAGGAAATGGGTCAAAGGCAAAGATTTTTCTTAACTGCAGTACTCAAGTCTGATGTGAGACTTCAATGCTCAGATACTAAGAACTGCAGACAGTGGGTAGTTCTTGTGGAGATGCAGCTCTCAAAGCGTGTGAGGTTCCTGTGTATGCATCGCCCATTATCTTCAGCATGGAGGTCACCATAGGATGACAATAGCACAGACCCTTTTTGGAAATGTGAGGGCAGACTGATTCAACCATGCAGAGAGGTGAGAAAAGTGTCTGATGCCAATGACAACACCACATCACGCGGTGGGTAATCTCTGTGGGATTAGCAGGCGAGGGTGAGAACAAAACGTTGGTCAGATCTGGTGCGAGAGGAGCAAGTCATTCTTTTCTTGCTCAGGTGAAAAACTTGCAGGGCTGCGAAGGAAAAGCAAGCAGCAAAAAGTGAGACTACCCCAGGAGGGGAAATAAGACAGCATTGGCTTTGTTGCTAAATAATTTCCCCGGCTTGCCTTTTCCCCATCTTGCAGTTACCCAGTCCTGTAATTAGACCATGGGGATGATTGGAGAATGGAGTTCAAGGGGCCTTTCAGGGCAAGCTCGTGCAACAGCTCTGTTAAACGGGTTCCTAAAGGAGCAAGGTGTCGAAACAGGCAGTCCAGCCTAAGGTACCGCTACCCTGTGCGTGCTGTGCTCTCGGAGGGGTCAAGGAGAGGCGAGCTCTGAGCTGCACAGGCTCTGGAAGCCC